TTTCCTGTGTCCCCGAGTCTCTCTGGACTACTTGCCGTGCGGGCGGTAGTGATCTCACACTCAAACTGGGTCACGGCTTCTACCCCCCTCCCCGGGCTCCCTGCTGCTCTTAATAGGCCATGTCCTGCATGATGCAGTCCCATGGGCCTCGGCTCTCCCACCCCCGCTCCCACCCGGTCCCGGCTGATCCAGCTACTGGGCGCTCCCACTTGGCTGCCACTGTATCATTCATTCATTCATTCATTCATCCCTAATTACAGTTCTGTTTGTTCATTTGCTTGATGCAGGGTCTCACTATGTAGCCCGAGCTGGCCTTGAACTATTGGTGATCCTCCTGCCTCAGCCTCCCACGTGCTGGGATTACAAGTGTGCGCCACCATGCTTTATTTCTTTTCTTTTTTCCTTTTTTTTTTTTGAGACAGGGTCTCATGATGTAGTTCAGGATGGCTTTGAACTCACTATGTTGCCCAGGCTGGCCTCAGACTTATGGAGATCCCCATGCCTCAGCCTCCTGATTGCTGGGGTTACAGGTGTGCTACACCTCGCCCGGCCCCTTCAGGAAACACAGAGTTGCAGACCTGAGCCCGGCACCCAGATACAATGGGGGCTGGGACAGAGAAAGTACTGTTTCACAGAGCTGTCACTGGGGTTGGGGCAACAGAAAAGAGGGAAGCAAATCCAGGTAATTCTCAATTTTATTTTCAATACAAGAATAAAAGAAACAGCTGGGTGGGACAGATCGAGAGCAACAGGGCAGGGTGCCAAGCACTCCTTCCAGCAAAGCCAACAGCCCTATAAGTCCCGGGCTCCCCTTGCCACCCTTTGTAAAATTTCATGCTTTGAGACAGGGTCTCACTAAATTGCTTAATTGCCACAGTGAGGCTCCAAGTTTCAATCCTCCTGCCTCAGCATCCCAGGATGCTAGGACTACAGGCGTGTCCCACCATACCCAGCACGAAAATTATAATAACATAAGCCTCTGGCTGCTGCTTGGATTGGCTGTTTCCTCCCTAAAAACAAAGCGAGGCTGTAGGCCTGGGGTCAATACGTTAAAGGCAGAAAGCAAGATTCAGGCGAATAATCTCTAAGCAGCTTCCGGTTCTATAACTGCAATCAGAGCAGTCGGGGCAGGGGTTGGCAGTGGAATTCCACCCAGAAAGAAACCCCTATGCTGCTGAGAGAGGAAATATGTTCTTTCACTTTCTGATGAGCCTGAGATATTGAAAAATATGAAAGTGAATGTTAGATAAACTCTAAAGGGCATGGAACCCTGTGTGTCAAGAGGAAACAAGTATTTTGGAGACAGTATCACCATTCAAAAACAAAAAGTAGCAAACATTCATTTAAAAAATCCATTTAAAAACAAAAATGAATTGGAAAACAAATTCAGTGTGAGCTGGGTGTGGTGATGCAGGCCTGTAATCCCACCTACTTGGGAGGCTGAGGCAGGAGGATTGCAAGTCTGAGGCCAGCCCAGGCCAGGTAGATACTCAGCCAGACTGTGCCTCAAAATAAAAAATAAAATGGTGGGCTGGGGATTTAGCTCAGCAGCACAGTGCCTGTCTGGCAAATGCAAGGTCGTGACTTCCATTCCTGGTACTGGGAAAAAAAAAAAAATGGTCTGAGGACATAGCTTGGGGATAGAGCGCTTATTTCTGCACGGATGAGAGCCATGTCCCTGGTCGCCCTGGGCTCGGGAGGGCACCGGCTCTTCTACCCCATGCCGCAAGTGGGCTGCCCCTGGGCGTAAGAGTGCAGGGGTCATTTTTAGCCAAGATTTGTCACCTGTCCTATCTGAAAACTGTTGGAAGTTCCTGGTTTGGGTGAGTGTTTGGTCTGCTTTCCCTCCTTCCACCACTTCTTCTTTCTCCTCCTTCCCTTGTCCTCCGGGAGAAGTGTCTAGGAGTTGAACCCGGGGTAAAGCCAATGTCCTGGGGTCTCCTGGATGCCAGGAGGAATGTGCGGCATTGAGGAGGAGCCCAGGGCTCCCCGTGCTCCCTGGTCCCCAGTATCACCGTGTGTCAGTCCTAGGGGAGCAGCTGCAGATGTTAAGATCTGACCTCTGTCTGCGTCCATGTCCAGCTGGTCACAGAAGGCTCAGTCTGAAGAAAGGCCCAGTCCTGCCCCCAGGTCACCTGTCTCAGGCTCTCTTGGACCCCAGGCACACCGGGAACAGCAGAGTCCGAGCAGTACCCAGGGCCTGGGCCAGGGGGTGCTGGAGAAGAACCATGAAAGGAAAAAGGGCACACTCCATGTTCTGGACAGTTTGAAAGCAATGTTTTGGTTTTGATTTTTTGGACAGGGTCTCAATATGTAGCCCAGGCTGGCCTCAAACTCATGGGGATCCTCCTGCCTCAGCCTCCTAAGTGCTGGGATTGCTAGTGTGCATCACCACACACAGCTGGACAGGGTCTTTTTTTTTTT